AGCATTATTTACAATAACCAAGACGTGGAAGCAACCTAAGTGTCCAGCAACAGACGAATGGATAAAGAAGATGTGGTACATATATACAATGGAATACTACTCAGCTGCAAAACAGAACAAAATCATTCCATTTGCAATAACATGGATGGACCTTGAGGGAATTATGTTAAGTGAAATAAGCCAGCAAGAGAAAGATGATCTGTGTATGACTCCACTCATATGAGGAATTTAAAATTATGGACCAAGAACAGTTTAGTGGATACCAGGGGAAAGGTGGGGTGGGGGGTGGGCACAAAGGCTGAAGTGGTGCACCTACAACATGACTGACAAACATTAATGTACAACTGAAATTTCACAAGATTGTAACCTATCAATAACTCAATAAAAAAAATTGAAGAAAAAAAAAGAAAATAACAAGATTAAATGTATTGTACAAACCTTCACAATGCAGAATATCTGCTTTTATATTAAATAGTCAAACTGATAATATTTATACAATTTGAAACAGGAAATAGTATTTAAGTCCTACACGAGAAATGCAGAGCATAATCTAAGTTTTGATTCATTTAACTTCCTCATCTATAAAATAAGGGAGTTGAGATGTCTACTAGAAATCCCCTTTATGCTGTATCATTTAGTGATTCCATAATCCCTTAAATTTCTTGGCCATCATTTATAAACCTAGAACATGACCACGCACTCTACGAAATTAGAACCAAGTTCAGGATCAAAACTAAATTACAGAAAAATTATGTGCTGCATAGTGTGATACTGAATTCAAGCACAACGGTGGAAAGATGAGATTAATGAAAGCAATGATATTGACAATACCCAACAACAAACAAACAAACAAAATCTCCTTTTGATGGCTCAAACTCTGGGTGCATTTTCACATAGGTAAAAAAACACAACAAAAACAAACAGAAACCCTTTCTAACAAGAGATCAAGGATCTCAAACGTCTTCTACAGAGTTGTATTCCAAATACTTACAATGGTGTCCAACAGATCCTTGATAAATATTTGCTGAATGATTGCTAATATAGGTGCTACGTGTCAGGCATGAAGAGATACTGCACGAAGAGGAAGATGAGTGATTCCCTCCACTTTTCTGGAAATATGTTTACTCCAGCCAAAAACATCAAAATAAGCAGTATTCATATTTAGCAACCTCCCATTGCTCTGTTTACATTCTTCCACCTTTTGGTGCTGGATATTCTCTCAAATTTCAGTTAATCTCTAGCCCAAATGTGTCCTGTCCCATGATTCTCAAGTACCTAAAGCCTTTGGTCCCTCTTCCTATAAAATTTTCAATCCTTTAATTTATTATTAATTTAATAAATGTAAAAATACAGAAAATTATAAAGAATAAAACAACATCCATATTTTCATTAGGACTAATACTTACTGGCTATCAACATTTTATCATATTTGCTTTTTTAAAAAAAGGAGATAAAGTATTGCAGATAAAGATAAAATTCCCTCTGACTGCCAACCAACTGCACGTTCCTCCCAGTCAACCACTATTACATTACTGATACAATCCTTCAAATTGATTTTCAACACCTATATTTAGTTACACATATTGCATATATGCATTTTTTTTTTTTTTTTTTGAGGAAGATTAGCCCTGAACTAACATCTGCTGCCAATCCTTTTCTTTTTGCTGAGGAAGGCTGGCCCTGAGCTAACATCCGTGCCCATCTTCCTCTACTTTATACATGGGATGCCTACCACAACATGGCTTGCCAAACGGTGCCATGTCCATACCCGGGATCTGAACTGGCAAACGCTGGGCCACTGAAGCAGAACGTGCGCACTTAACCGCTGCACCAGTGGGCCGGCCCCTACGTTTATTTATTTTAAGGGTGGTTTTGGAAAAATACACATAGACACTCATATTGCACATATCCTTGGGAAATTGGTTTTTGTATGAAATATAATTTTGAGATATCCATATTAAGACCTATTGTATACTTTTTAACAATAAAGTATTACATCATGTGACTATGCCATGCTTTACCCACTTCAATAGAGACAGTAATGTAGGTTGTCTCTAATTTTATACTATCACAATGACAGGCTTGTACATGACTCGTTATGCTCATGAGTGTCACTCTAAGGGAACAGCTACATCAAAAAGTGGGATTTGGCGGTCATAGGGTATTATGCTCATTTTCAATTTTATTAGGTATTGCGAAATTTCTCAATTTTCACTTACAACAGTAGTATATGAGTTCATCCATTTTCTACATTTTCATCACTACTGAATATTGGCATTTTTTCACACGACAGATTTTAAAAGTGAAGATGATTAGTCATGAATTGATAAGTATTGAAGCTAGGTGACAAGGTCACAAGGTTCAACTATACTATTCTTCCAATTTCCATGTTAAAGAAAATGTAAGACTAAAGTGGTAGATTACAGACTTTTAAAAAGTATATTTTTGAGATATGCTGAACTATAGTAAAATAGTAATACTATACAGTGCTGATGAAAATGTAAACTGTACACCAATTCTAGAAGCAAACTGGCAATATAACAAAGGCCTTAAAATATGCTAAACTACACGCGTTGAACTACTAATTACACTTTTAAAAATAATTCTAAGTGAATAATTAAAGGAAAAGTACAAAGATGTAGCTATGAAGATCTTTACCCCAATATTATTGTAACTCTGGATGAGCAGGATTATGGGTATTTGTTAGTTTGTCTTTTAAATAAAGCTACTACTTTGGAAGTTATAAACATATATTTAATTTTAAAGTAATTATAAAACAATATAATAAAAAATTAAAAATAATCTTTGAAAGTGCTTGCTATCAGTCAAAAGAATGTTTAATTTACTTAAGGTGCTAGAATACTATTTAACCTTCAGGGATATCTATGGTGTACTGGAGATAAATGCATCACTTATAAAATAACCAGTGAAGACCTTACAATACAATGGAATATGATTCAGCCATAAAAAAAAAAGAAGAAAATCTTGCCACTGGCAACAACATGGATGGACGCTGAAGTCACTATGATAAGTGAAATAAGTCAGACAAAGATAAATACCATATGATCTCACTTATATGTGGAATCTAAACAAAACAAAAAAGCCAAACACAGAGACACAGAGAACAGATGGGTGGTTGCCAGAGGCAGAGGGTGGGAGAAATGGGTGAAGAGGGTCAAAAGTAAAAACTTCTAGTTATAAAATAAATAAGTTATGGGATGTAATGTACAGCATGATGACTATAGGTAATAATGCTATATTGTATGTTTGAAAATTGCTAAGAGTAAATCTTAAAAGTTCTCAACAGAAGGAAAGAAATGTGTAACTATGTGTGGTGATGAATTTGATCTAGACATTGTGGTGATCATTTTGCAATATATACAAATATCAAATCATTATGTTGCAGACCTGAAACTAATATAACATTATATGTCAATTATATCTCAATAAGGAAAAAGAAATTTACAACTAAAATGTTTTTCAAATGGTCCCTGCCACTAGTCTTACTTCCCCATCACTCACACTCTACATTCTGCTAGAGTAAACTTTCTAAAATCCAAATCTATTTATATCAGTTTCCTGTACTTCCTCTTTACCCTTCAGGATAAAGTATCAAACACTTAGCACCATAAATAAAATCTTTTATAAATTGGTTTCTAATTTCTATCAGTTTCTAAAGGACTCTTGCCTCTAGTCTGGAAAAACTGAAGGTCCCTTTCTTGTCAAGTGTTTGCATATTCTTTGCCTCTGCTCACACACTTCAGTCTAGAACAACCTTCCCTGTCTGGCTTACTCCTATGATGCTCAGCTCAACTGTCAATTCCTCTTTTTAACACTCTTATCTGCTTGTGAGAACTCCTCCTCCTTTTTGTTTCCATATAATCCTATACATACATCTAATGTAGCAATTACTAAGAACGGCATTACTATATTCCTTCATATTCTCAAATACGCTAAATACCTCTAGAGGGAAGGATATTCTCAACCATGAGTTTTATTTCTGTAGCCCCAGTATCTAGCATATTGCCTCATATTCTGTATCTACTTGATAAAAAGGAAGGAAGGAGTGGGGGAGGGATGGCAGGAGTTTCAAATTAAATTAGGAGAAAGTGAAGAAAAAACCTTTAAAACATGCTCCTTGAGACATGGGTTGTAGTTTTTGGACAATTTTTTATATTCTTATGTAATTATATAATTGTGTATTTTTCTCCTATCAACTAGCTTAAATTTACTTAGCAAAAAAGATATAATGCTATTCCAAGTAGAATATTACAAAACCACAATTAAGACAATGGGAAAATGCAATTCAATATAGCATAAATTTGGCCTTAAAAATTCTTAGTTCTGCCGTTTACTACATATATGACAACAGGTAAGTAAATCTCAATAAGCATCAGTTTCTTCATCTTTAAGATGGGAATAATAAACCCATCTATCAGAATTACATTTAAGTGACATGACGTAGAGAATTATATTTAAGTATTCTAGAAAGTACAGTTAGTTACTTTTTATTTTGTAATTTATATTCTTTTAAACTAACAAATACCCCAACTCTCTTGCACCAACAGTCCCAATCCCAGAGTTAGGCACACAAAGCACATCCGTTGAATAAACTTAAAGATGAAGAGGAAATATAGAGATAATAAAAATGAAAGCTAACATTTACTAAGTAATTCTTACGTATCAAATACTCTGAGAACAAACATGTTGGTACTATGAGGGAAAACAGGCCAGTGAACCAGGACTATTTAAACTAGGCCGTCTTTTGGATCTCCTTTACAAGCAATTGTACAGAAAGCCCCTTTAATAGTCAATGAAACTCTACTTTGAGCTATAATTTCTTGTACAGAAATTAAGGAATAGAACTGCTTGAAAGGGCAGAGTGGGGGACCAAAAAATTTTAGCACATCTAAAAATAAAATCAACAGAAGAAATATATAACTCTAATAAATGAGAAAAGGATTTTTTCATTTAGAGAATAAATTATAAAAATTTCTCACCTGCTGCATATGTCTATTGGTTCGTTTCTGAGGCTGATAAATGAGCCAAGTGTATAAGACTGGATCAATATTAACTGCTAGTCCTTGTACACTACAAAGAAGTACGGCACCTAAAAAACAAGATTTTAAATTCTTATAATTCGTCATTAAAAATAATAAGCTTGATGTCACTTCAAACCAATTAGGATAGCTATAATAAAAAAGACAACAACAAGTGTTGACAAGGATTTGGAGGAACTCAAAGCCTCATACATTGCTGGTGGGAATATAAAATCGTGCAAATACTTTGGAAAATGGATTGGCATTTCCTCAAAAAGCAAAACATACAATATAACCCAACAATTCTATTCCTAAGTATATACCAAAAGAACTGAAATCATATGTCCACACAAAATCTTGCACATAAATTTTCAGAGCATTATTCATAAAAAAAGTGGGAAGAACATGAATGTCCATGAACAATATGAACTGTCCATGGGTAAACAACATGTAGTCATAGAATGCAAACTTATCTGTAAAAAGGAATGAAGTATGGATACACGCTACAACATGGATAAACCTTGAAAATAAGCTAAGTGAAAGAAGCTAGTGACAGAAAACCACATATTGTATGATTCCACTTACATGAAATGGCCACAACAGGCAAAACCATAGAGGAGAAAAGATAGACTGGTGGATGCCAGGGACTGGCGGGAGGGAAGAATGGAAAATAACTGCTAATAGATGTGCAGTTCTTTTGGGAGTGATGAAAATTTTCTGGAATTAGAAAATGGTGACCGTTGTACACCCTGGCAAACACATTAAAAACCACTCAATTATGCACTTTAAAGTAATAAATTTTTTTGAATGTGAATTGTATCTCATCAAAAGTGCATTCATCTTTTAAAAATAGGACTAAGCTTAATTTTTTTAACTTTTTATTGAGATTTGATAGTTTACAACCTTGTGAAATTTCAGTTGTACATTATTGTTTGTCAGTCGTGTTGTAGGTGCACCACTTCACCCTTTGTGCCCACCTCAACCCTCCCTTTCCTCTGGTAGCCACCAATTTGTTCTCTTTGTCTAGATGTTCAACTTCCACATAGGAGTAGAGTCATACAGAGATTGTTTTTCTCTATCTGGCTGTAATAAGTTTAATTTTTTAAGCAAATAGCAATTTCTATACTTGCCATAAGAACGGAGTATTATCTTCCTTTTGTTTCTATTACAAAACTAATTCATGATGTGAAAGGAAACATTGTTATAACCACTCAACGAATCATTGTAAATTACAGCTTTAAATGTTAGAAAGCAAAGGGAGAGAGCTGCCTAGAGGAAATGCAGGCTAACATTCTGACATAAAACACAAAGCTGAAGTGTAACAAGTTGCAATTCCATCCTACTAAAATGTTTTTGTCCCTCTCTAATAAAAAGCAGCTATCATAGAACTTAACTAAGGCAGACTATCCCATTCTTAATTTATACGCAGGTTACGTATATCCATAAGTAAGTTTTTGGATTTCTACATATATTTTTGATAAAAATATTATTGGCACCACCAGGATGTATGGAATATGAAGGGAGGGGTATTTGCCAGTTTTTCTCTCAATTATATCTCCAGGATCTAGAAAAGTATCTGTTGCATGGTAGGAGATGAAAAAAAAATTCAGAATAAATGGTAGATACGTTCTCAGGTTAGCTGAAAAAAGCCCATTTGTTCTATAATATTGCAGATTATTTAAACAATTAGTAAAATTAGCATTAATACCAGATCCTATGAAAAGTGAACTACACAGAGATGGAGGTAGAAGGATGGAAGAGAAGAAAGAGAAAAAGAAACTTCCCCTTTTCTCAAATCTTTGCACAGAATTTTCAAACAAGTGAAACCATGTATACTCCTATTCCACCTTACAGTGCTCCTTCTCTCAGGGACCCAGATCACTACAGATTCCTATGCAGAATGCTAAGATAACATAAGCAATCCCTCCTTCATGTACCAATGCATGTGCTGGTGAGCAATGATTTGCTCAAATACATAACAGCAGGGATGATGGGGAATACAAGATGATTGCAAAAGAGGAGTCATAATTGAAGTCGACTGGAAAATAGAATTTAGCATATATTTTAAATATATATATTTTCCTATAATAGAACACAAATTCCTCATAAGAATTTAAATTCTTCTATTTCTCAAATACCACTAGTGTACAGAATAAAGGCTTAAAAATGCTATGTTATATTAAGGGAAATAAAATTGAACCTTCCCAAAATAATATCCAGTTTTTAAACAATTCTAGCAGCTCTCCACAAACCAACAAAAATACAGTATTACAGTATGCAGCAAGAGTTAACTTGAAAGGTGTTCTTGTTTTATAAGACCTCATTCTCTCCAAAAATGTTATTAGGTAAGAAATAGAATTTGTCTCCAAACATGAAAAAGTATTTATTAAAACCTTTTTATTTTAAAGAAATAAGTTGCACACATTTAAATGGAGAGTTTTAAAAATTTATTTAAATTCAAGAATATATAATTCAATCTTAAAGGTTAAAAGGCTTTTCTAAAATCGATGCAGAAATGAAATTCCAATTAGATTTAAACTACTATGGACTGTTTCCTGCCACATGAGCCCACTGTAATAGAATTTGTTTTATAATTAACATCACATAAATATTAAAGACACCACAAATAATATATGATTAACAATAAATAATGCCTTCCACCAAAAGAAGGAATTACAAAAAGAAAGAAGACACTGGGATCCTGAAGACAAAGGATCCAACACAGGAGGAAAATGATGGGAATCCCCAAGACAACAACAATTAATTAGGGACAGGTATAGGGAAAACCTAGTAACAACAAACACAATTATGAAATACAGGAAAACTAACGTTATAAAGGAAAGGATAACTGATCATAAAATACAACATGACTGTGCCATGAACAACATATATAGACAGACTATGTCAATTCTGAAAAAATAAATGAGTTAATCAAAGTTATGATATAAAAATATTGGGACTATACGTATATAAAGAATGTGTGATGGGAGCTGGAAAAGGTAAGGTTTGGCCAATTGTCATTTTCCACAGTAAGACATCAATAAACAATGCTCCAAGATGAACAATCAAGAAGGAGTAAGAAAAGCTATGTTATTTAAAAATACGGAAGTAAATACCAAAATAATTACTGAAAAGATGTGAAACTAGCCATCTCTTGAAGATGGAACATTATAAAACAGGTGCAGTTGCTTTGAGGAAGAATATAATTAGGATTCTCAAACTAAGGACAACAGAAAAGAGAGGCAGATGAGTCTTAGATTTTCTTGCTGAGGAATATCCCTCTAGCTGCTAGCAAAAAGCAGAAAATTTTCTCTTTGAAAAAGTCTCCAATTAATTGTCATGTGACAGCCACAAATGAAGATCTGTGAATGGTTCCCATAACAAAAAATCAGCAAGCAGTGCAGAAGGCAAGCTACATTAAGTGAGAGTCCAAAAAATCAACAAACAATAAATTTCGACCTTCAAACACTGGAAATATTTGAACACAGAACACAAAACAAACATGTATAAAATGTTTAAAACACAAAAGTATAAAAGCATGAAAACGAGCACACAAGGAGAAAGAATCAGCAAAGAACATATTTTAAAGAAAAATGGAAATTATAGAAATGACATTTAATTGTTCAAGTAAAAAACTCATCAAACAGGTTAAAAACAGCAGATTAGATATAGTAGAAGAGAAAATTAGTGAAATGGAATAAGCAGAATTAGATAACTTAGAATACATCTGAGATAGAAAAATGAAAGTACACTATTAAAATGAGACTAAGAGATATCAGAACTGAGTATGAACACCAAACATATGTCTAATTAGATTCTAGAGGGAGATACTAAGGAATGCAGACGAGGTAATACTGTGAAAAAGATAACAGCTGAGAATTTTACAGAATTGTTGAAAGAGAGCAAGCATCAAACCCAAGACTCCCAACAAATCCAAACTTCATAATTAAAAATAAACCTATATTAAGCAAAAAAAACCCAAAAGCTACAAAACACTTAAAAGAAAGAGAAGATGAGAAAAGCACTCCAAATGAAAAGAAAGATCACCTATGGAATAAAAAAGGAAATAAACTGACACTCAACTCCTTAGCAAATAGTCAATGGTATTCATTATATGATTTTACTTCAAAACGTACATAGATATTACACATATTCTTTTGTATGTACCAAGTTTTATATTTAAAAAATAATAAAAAGAAATTAAATGGATTTTTTAAAATAAATCAGAACAAGTTTTGCTCTATTATTAAATATCTCAAGTCCAAGCCCCAATTTTTTTTCAGTCACAATGAAAAATACACATAACATCTATATAAACAAAGCACTATATGAATTTAGAAGCATGCAAACTGAAAAAGACAAAAGTAAACTAAGAAATTACAGACATTCTCCATTTGGGGGAAGTTATTATAAAAGATTTTTCAGATGTGCCAAAAACTAAAAGTGTTGACTAAATTTTTAAAAACCTTCTCAGTAAGTTATCATTACACCTTTTTAACTGAAATTTTAGAGAAAGAAAAAGGAAAACAAATGTAACAAATATGTTCACATAGAAAACCTAATCTTAAAAACCTTATTTTATTATAATACAGTTAAAAAGTATTCACAAACATTCCTATTAACTTATATAATTACATTATTCCAAATATGACTAAGTGACTTATAGCCAGGCTTAAACTTTATGAATGTTAAATAGGTGATCAAAGAGAATAATCTTAATTTAACATCAATTCAGTTGAAATTATAATTTAGAGATAGTGTTCTTTTAAATTACAATTTAGAGATAGTGTTCTTTTAAATTTAAAGGGATATTTTCATATTATACTCAATTTAAGAGACACAGCCTTTAAAAATAACACAAGATCTGACATATAAGCATGTAATTAGTCTGATACTGAGTTGACTCAAAACAGATCCCCCACAAATAACTAAATTTTCGCAAAAATATTATTCTGTTCAATTTTAGCTGGGAGACAACTAATGAGAAAATTGTACTTTACTTCTCTGTTCACTGCCAAAATGGGTCACTTATCCACATTCCACTCAGGCTTCACCAATTAGTTAAACCAAG